TTACAACAGCCTCAGTTTCACAGTGAACAAATAGTTGCAGCAGTTTATAGAAACTCACTGCTTTGACACCACGTCTGTTCCTCTTTTTATCCTAATTGGACCGATATGATCACTCCACTCCATCATTTTCCCGCCTATACTATGCACTGAATACTATGGGGTGCCGTCTGTAAAGCGGCTCACGCTGAAAATAACAGCAACATTTTGTCACATTTAGCATCAAACAATGTTTAAAAAACTGGTAAGAATTTTTAGGGTCACTTTTTTGCACATTTACAACAATATTTGTCAACTTAGAGATATTTTAAATAGTTAAATCCAAATATTAAATGTTACACCTAAATGTTAAATCTAAATTCTAAATCTAAATCAAAATCTAAATGTTAAATCCAAATGTTAAATGTTAAATCTAAATGTTTCAGGTGAAACTAAATATTTAACTAATATGCAAATTCAAAATGTCGGTAACCGGAAGTACCAAAATAAAAGCTCGAGGAGGTCAGTGTGTGTTTATAGTGTCAAATAACAATAAAGACCACCGGGGAAATGGACTCTTGGACATGGATTATCGTGATGATAACTACCTAAAATAATAAACACATTTGGAGACACAGCTTTTTTGACAGACATTTTTAGCCAATAAGTATTAAACTAACAAGGTAATGTGTCAAAAGGCGACCTTTTTTGTTATTTTCTCAAAAGGAGGACAAATGAGTGTCAGGTTTAAGGCTGCGCCTGCAGCCCGACAGGGCATTTAAAAGCCGGACAGTCCGGTCTAAAGCCGGACGAATGGCCACCCTAACTGTGACTGATCTGTCTTGTTCACTTGCATAAAGGCCAACAAGAGCCTACCCCCACCCGCCACCACCAGGTACTGTCGGCCATGGTCGCTCTGCGAAAATGTCCAACAAGTCGGCGTTAGCCTGGCGGCTATACAAAAATTTTCAACAGCGACAGCAACCGCCTCAGGGTTATAAGTCCCGCACCCTTCATAAAAGTGACACTAAAAACTCAAAGCACTCTTCAAATACAGTTTCTCCAAATGTGTTTATTATTTTAGGTAGTTATTATCACGATAATCCATGTCCAAGAGTCCATTTCCCCAGTGGTCTTTATTGTTATTTGACACTATAAACACACACTGACCTCCTCAAGCTTTTATTTTGATACTTCCGGTTACCGACATTTTGAATTTGCATATTAGTTAAATATTTAGTTTCACCCGAAACATTTAGATTTAACATTTAGATTTAGATTTAAGATTTTGGTGTAACATTTAATATTTGGATTTAACTATTTAAAATATCTCTAAGTTGACAAATATTGTTGTAAATGTGCAAAAAAGTGACCCTCAAAAATTCATACCAGTTTTTTAAACATTGTTTGAAGCTAAATGTGACAAAATGTTGCTGTTATTTTCAGCGTGAGCCGCTTTATAGACGGCACCCCATATAATACAGCTTTAAAATACACAGTGAAACATGTCTAAATCAAACACTGACTTTATAGAAATCCTAACCAAGAACTCTCTGGGTACAAATACACTGTGTACAGTCGGTGTATTCAGTCACTGGTAGGTTTTGTCTCAGTGTGTTGTGGGTGCAGTGCAGAACTGATCCTGTTTTTCTATCAGGAGGAAAAAACCTGAACCCAGCTGTGTGTCCATGAAGAGTGACCGCTCTATGGATCATCCTATAGAGTTCAAAGATGGCCGCCACTCTGTTGATCAAAGGTGAGGATTTCAAACTGATGGTGAAAATAAAATGATGTGTTTTTATCAGACTCTCAGTTGTGAAATCTCCAGTTTTTAAACCTTTACTGACTCAGATGAAGTTCTCTGAGCACCAACACTCTTTCAGCAGCAGCTGCCTCACACTCACACAGTCAAACACATTCACACTGGGAGCTGCCCAGTAAAACCAGTCTGATACAAGCAGACACTGAGCAGCTACACTGGAGCAGCTGGAGGTTCTAGGTGCCTTGCTCCAGGGCACTTCAGCAGTGTACAGTGAGGGAGGGAGAGCTATATGGAGGGGTTGGTGAGAGCTGTAGGGACTGAACCAAACTGAGCTGTTGATTCTCAGTGGGATCAGCAGGACTAGTAAACCTTTACCACTACAGGGAGTCATCAGATTCACTGTTCACATCCAATTATCACTTCATGGACCTTTACCTTGTGTTTGTGTCTGTGTGGACAGACATAATGTGAGCTCATTCTTCATGATTCCTCCACAGAGTGGACCAGGAGAGCTCAGAGGTTCCCAGTGGTCAGTCTGCCCAGCAGCATCAAACACATCTGGACTCCATATTTATGGTCTGTACATGGACAACAACTACTTTTACATCTATTGTGTTCACAATAATCTCCATGCTGCACTTTTTAGACCAGTGGATTGTCAGTCTGTCCAACATGGATCTGATGTTTGCTTCCATGATTTGACTTTGATTGAGTCATTCATATAATATTCTGTTCCAGCTGCTGGAGGACAACATTGTCACTTTTATGAAGAACGAGCTGAAGAAGATCCAGAAGGTTCTGAGTTCAGATTACCCAGAATGCTCAGAGAGTCAGAGGGAGGATGAGGAGGTGTTGGATGGTGAGGATGAAGAGCAGAGGAGGAGCAGCAGAGAGGCATTTCTGAAGATCACAGTGCATTTCCTGAGGAGAATGAAGCAGGAGGAGCTGGCTGACTGTCTACAGAGCAGTAAGAGGATTTTTACAGATTGAATATGATGGAAAGAGGAAATGGAGGCAACATGGGAGAAGTTTACTTTTAAAAATCCGCTGATAATATGATGCACACATTGTATCAGATCTATGAATTCTTCTGGACTGAAAACAGAAACTGTTGACAACTGATGAGCTGAAGAGATTTAATGGAGGAGGAAAATAAATACCATCTTGATGTCTTAAAGTTTATATCCATCAGATTTATTGGAGCTTTTACTTATTAACTACATTTCTTATTTCTTCATTCAGGAACTGCTGCTCCAGCGTGCCGACATGAACTTAAATCTAACCTGAAGAAGAAGTTCCAGTGTGTGTTTGAGGGGATTGCTAAAGCAGGAAACCCAACCCTTCTGAACCAGATCTACACAGAGCTCTACATCACAGAGGGAGGGACTGCAGAGGTCAATGATGAACATGAGGTCAGACAGATTGAAACAGCATCCAGGAAACCAGACAGACCAGAAACAACAATCAGACAAGAAGACTTCTTTAAACCCTCACCTGGAAGAGATGAACCAATCAGAACAGTGATGACAAAGGGAGTGGCTGGCATTGGGAAAACAGTCTTAACACAGAAGTTCACTCTGGACTGGGCTGAAGACAAAGCCAACCAGGACATACAGTTCACATTTCCATTCACTTTCAGAGAGCTGAATGTGCTGAAAGAGAAAAAGTACAGCTTGGTGGAACTTGTTCATCACTTCTTCACTGAAACCAAAGAAGCAGGAATCTGCAGGTTTGAAGAGTTCCAGGTTGTGTTCATCTTTGACGGTCTGGATGAGTGTCGACTTCCTCTGGACTTCCACAACACTGAGATCTTGACTGATGTTACAGAGTCCACCTCAGTGGATGTGCTGCTGACAAACCTCATCAGGGGGAAACTGCTTCCCTCTGCTCGCCTCTGGATAACCTCACGACCTGCAGCAGCCAATCAGATCCCTCTTGAGTGTGTTGACATGGTGACAGAGGTCAGAGGGTTCACTGACCCACAGAAGGAGGACTACTTCAGGAAGAGGTTCAGAGATCAGGAGCAGGCCAGTAGAATCATCTCCCACATCAAGACATCACGAAGCGTCCACATCATGTGCCACATCCCAGTCTTCTGCTGGATCACTGCTACAGTTCTGGAGGATGTGTTGAAGACCAGAGAGGGAGGAGAGCTGCCCAAGACCCTGACTGAGATGTTCATCTACTTCTTGGTGGTTCAGTCCAAAGTGAAGACCATCAAGTATGATGGAGGAGCTGAGACAGATCCACACTGGAATAAAAACAGCAAGATGATAATTGAGTCTCTGGGAAAACTAGCTTTTGAGCAGCTTCAGAAAGGCAACCTGATCTTCTATGAATCAGACCTGACAGAGTGTGGCATCGATATCAGAGCAGCCTCAGTGTACTCAGGAGTGTTCACAGAGATCTTTAAAGAGGAGAAAGGACTGTACCAGGACAAGGTCTTCTGCTTCGTCCATCTGAGTGTTCAGGAGTTTCTGGCCGCTCTTCATGTCCATCTGACATTCATCAGCTCTGGAGTCAATCTGCTGGCAGAAGTACAAACAACATCCCGCTCTTCTAAAGTCTTCCAAGAAAAACCTAAACTGAAATATCTCCACCAGAGTGCTGTGGACAAGGCCTTAGAGAGTCAACAAGGACATCTCGACTTGTTCCTCCGCTTCCTCCTGGGCCTTTCACTGCCGACCAATCAGAATCTCCTACGAGGTCTGCTGATGCAGACAGGAAGTAGTTCACAGACCAATCAGCAAACAGTTGAGTACATCAAGAAGAAGATCAGTGAGAATCTCTCTGCAGAGAGAAGCATCAATCTGTTCCACTGTCTGAATGAACTGAATGATCATTCTCTAGTGGAGGAGATCCAACAGTCCCTGAGTTCAGGAAGTCTCTCCACAGATAAACTGTCTCCTGCTCAGTGGTCAGCTCTGGTCTTCATCTTACTGTCATCAGAAAAAGATCTGGACGTGTTTGACCTGAAGAAATACTCTGCTTCAGAGGAGGCTCTTCTGAGGCTGCTGCCAGTGGTCAAAGCCTCCAACAAAGCTCTGTAAGTACAGAAATAGTTGGATGTCTGTATTATCACTTAAATACTCTTTTCGACTTAAAGAGATTATAAAGACATTATATATCACCAACATTGGGAACTCCTCACTAGCTGATATCATTTTTACAGAACTAATTTAAAGTGTTTTTGGTTTTGGCTGAGTGATAAAGTGCTGGTCACAAATGTTATTTTTCTTCATGCTGATCATTGTGTCTATAGACTGAGTGGCTGTAACCTCTCAGAGAGAAGCTGTGAAGCTCTGTCCTCAGTTCTCAGCTCCCAGTCCTCTAGTCTGAGAGAGCTGGACCTGAGTAACAACAACCTGCAGGATTCAGGACTGAAGCTGCTTTCTGTTGGACTGAAGAGTCCACACTGTAAACTGGAAACTCTCAGGTCAGAATTTGTCAACCTGTTCAACTGATAACCACTTTAAACCTGAATTATGTTGATGTATACAATTGTAATCTTCCTAACATTGTTTTGTTTAATTAGTTTGAGTCTCTTTCCTTGAACATGTTTATTATGTAATGTGTTTGTAGCACCCCAACACTCAGTAAATGCTTAAGTTAAAGCAACTCACCTTGGACTGAAACTTTTTATGGCCTAATACTTTATGAATAACCAACAACTTTGTTAGACTAAGCAGTGGCTCTATTCACACGTACTCTACACTATTTTAAATAACTGACCCCAGACAACTCTTTCAAATAAATGAAATAATAGTTAACTAACCAGTTGTTTTCCAGTTTAACACAAATAATATTTACTTTGTTAGTTAACAGATAAACAAAAATTAAATAACACAATTACTCAAATTAGACTTCTTTAAAATAAAAATATTATAGTTGTAAACAAAAATGACCTTTACCAAAATTGGCAAAACACTGTAGAAAAATAGACACTCATAATAAGCAAAATAGAATTGGCTATATCAAAATACTATTCAAAATTTAAATAATTCCAGGTCTCCTGTGAAATTCGTAGTTCTTACCCCTTAATACGATTTCTCTATACTTATCAAACTCAGATCAAATATGCTACTTAACTGAACTCTAACAAAACAGTGGGCCCCACACACACACACACACACACACACACTCACACACACACACACACACACACACGCACACACACACACACACGCACACACACACACACACACCCTCACACACAGACACAAAAACAAAAAAAGGCCTGTGTGTTGCTCGGTGCGGCGCGGCAGGAAAATCCTTATCCTCAGTGACAATTAACAGTCACAAAGAAAATCCAACTCACGGTCTGGAATAAGTCCTGGAGAAACAGTTAATGAAGAGATGAAGATGAAAGCCAACGGCAGCAGAAGTAAAGTCCTCCTCAGGAAGCGTGAAACAGTCCTTCCCGTTCAGCAATGGCGTCCTCTTGGCTCGATTCTCCCGCCCCTTTTTAACTCACTCCCTTACCTACGGCCAATTACCAACAGTTATTTGTATTACAAATTAACTTGTTTTAACCCCTGTACTTTTACACCGGACTACATGTTGTTTGTGTGTTTGCAGGCTGTCAGGCTGTCTGATCACAGAGGAAGGTTGTGCTTCTCTGGTCTCAGTTCTCAGCTCCCAGTCCTCTAGTCTGAGAGAGCTGGACCTGAGTATGAACGACCTGCAGGATTCAGGACTGAAGCTGCTTTCTGTTGGACTGAAGAGTCCACACTGTAAACTGGAAACTCTCAGGTCAGATTTGTCAACCTGTTCAACTGATAACCACTTTAAACCTGAATTATGTTGATGGATAAAATTGTAATCTTCCTAACATTGTCTCAAATCATTGTTTGGTTTATTTAGTTTGAGTCTCTTTCCTTGAACATGTTTATTATGTAATGTGTTGTTTTGTGTGTTTGCAGGCTGTCACACTGTCTGATCACAGAGGAAGGTTGTGCTTCTCTGGTCTCAGCTCTGAGCTCCAACCCCTCCCATCTGAGAGAGCTGGACCTGAGCTACAATCATCCAGGAGACTCAGCAACAAAGCTGTCTGCTGCACTGGAGGATCCACAGTGGAGACTGGACACTCTCAGGTATGAGGTTGGATCAATACAGTAGTAGTAGTCAGGTGACAGAGGAAAGGTGATGAAATTTCTGTTTTTCTGGACCGATGTCTTGTTTCAACATTGGAAAATAGGACAGTGGTTTATCCTGATGGGTTGGTGAGCATCATGGCGGGTTGATATTTGTCAATGTTGTCACGCTGCAGGTTTGTGGGCTCATATCATAAATAGTTTGGGATATTTTGATGGATGTCATCTGCCATCAGCGTGTGTTACCTTTTAGTCCAGAAAAACTAAAGGCGTCACCTAAACTACAATTCAGTTCAGTTCAGTTCAGTTTTATTTGAATGTCACCACTTCATAACAGAAGTTATCTCAGGACAGTTTTCAAATAGAGCAGGTCTAGACCGAACTCCTTATAACATTATTTACAGAGACCTAACAGTTCCCACCATGAGCAAGACCTTGGAGACAGCGGCAAGGAAAAACTTCCTTTTCTGCCCTGACAGAGAGAGAGACAGACAGACAGACTAGAAATGACTGATGATGATGAACATGAAGAAGATGATGACAACAACAACAACGATGGACAATAATAATATTAACTATAATAATGATTATAATAATAATAATAATAATATCAGTAATTTTGAGGCTCCACCAGGATCAATGAGAATCTGCGAGACAAGAAAGCACAAGAACTCCGGGGAAGAAGTGAAGTTAGTAACATACATTAATGGGACATGAATGAGTGCAGAAAGAGAGAGGAAGAGAGGAGCTCAGTGCATCATGGGAAATCCCCCGATAGTCTAGGCCTATAGCAGCATAACTAAGGGATGGTTCAGGACTCACCTGATCCAGCCCTAACTATAAGCTTTATCAAAGAGGAACGTCTTAAGCCTACTCTTAAATGTGGAGAGGGTGTCTGCCTCCAGAACCACAACTGGAAGCTGGTTCCACAGGAGAGGAGCTTGGTAACTGAAGGCTCTGGCTCCTGTTCTACTTTTAGAGACTATAGGAACCACAAGTAGCCCAGCATTCAGAGAACGTAGTGTTCTAGAGGGGTAATAGGGTACTATGAGCTCTTTAAGATATGAAGGGGCCTGACCATGAAGAGCTTTGTAGGTGAGGAGGAGGATTTTAAATTCTATTCTAAATTACTACTGATGTGAGTATTGAATTTTCCTGTGTACTGAGCAGTCCTTGAACACCTCCTGCCGTATGTTTTGTTGTTTATTTGAGTATTCAGGTGTCAACCTGTCATTGTCCAATCAGGGTCTATTAGAGATGAGTATGAGGTAACCTACCGGATTCTGAGAGGATTAAAAAGAGAAACGGAGACATGAGAGAGAGAGAGAGAGAGAGAGAGAGAGAGAGAGAGAGAGAGAGAGAGATGGATGGATGTGGACAACTGTTAAATAACGTTTAAATAGTCAGAGATTATTTCCTTGTGGTTTGCGTAAAAGGATTTTGGAGCTAATAGAGTCGCGTGTGACATAAACGTAGATGGTGCAGTGACTCAGGTTCATGCCAGCTGAACAAATCTATTGCATTGTTATAGCGTTATTGTGAAGTTTAATTAATAGCGCATATATTCATCTGAGAACTGATGATGTCTGTGTGTTACAGACCCTGGCTGTGTGCACTGAAGTGTATATGACAATAAAGTAGTGAATCTCAATCTATTTATTTATTTTTAAAATGTATTTTAAATAGGCCTATAGGCTCATAGGTTTTTTGTCCAAAAATACCAAACAATTTTTCACAGCACCCCCTGTTCAAAATGACTTCCAGCGGCCCTGGGGTACAAATTAGAGTTAGATTAGAGTAGCAAAATTCAACTGCTCTTAACTCATCCTATAGAATAACATTTATCAGTCATCAGCTCATCATCTGTGTCACCTGTATTGTTACCTGTGTTTGCTTTACTAATTGAGGCGCCATCTTGTGGTTACATAAAAACACAGCAATCCAGGCAACAGAACAGAAAAACTAAAGGCGTCACCTAAACAACAATTCAGTTCAATGTCACCAATTCATAACAGAAGTAACTACTGCACTCAGGTTCAACTCAAGGAGTGAGTAAATGTAAATAATAATAATGTAAAAAGGTAAACACAATTTCACAATCAACAAAAAGTAGAATCACAGTTCAGATTCATTCCAATATATAAAAGAAATAAAAGAACTGAAAGTGAAAGTGTTTCTTTACAGCTTATTGCTGTCTGATATCAATGTTGGTCAAAGTCCAGTCCAAAAGCTTAGTGTGTATCCATGTCCGTCCAAGTGTATTCAATGTGTATGTGCTACCCGGGTAGAATGTGTGTGTTTGTTTGTACGCTTGCTCAGATCTTATCTTCAGGAAGATGATGAAGATGGAGAATTCCAGATACTCTCTAACCCTGCCTCGCATCCCACAGGAAACCCAGAATGTAGATCCAGCAACTCAAAAAACCAATTATCTCTCATCAATTACTGTACAGTATCATATCTCTCTTTAACTCAAGTGTAACTTATAACAAAAGCAATGATGAACTATATCCTGAGACCTTAAAAGCTTAGACATCATTGTGTTTTGTTTCCTTTTTTACCCGTATTAATAAATCATGTTACACAACTTATCTCTTATCTCTAATCAATCATGTCTCTCATTCATATTCACCCTTATGTATTTTTAATCATCTCAACATGAACTGAAACACATTATTTATATCAGGAAAAACCCATATGTATACAAATCATGAGCATTAGCCCACATATAGCATATTTTTAACTCTGACTTTAACACTGAACATGGCGCCCAGAAATGTAAACATTAGCATTACACTAAAAATAAATGCATTTCTAAAACACAACTCAGCATATTAACTCATTTCAGTGTCTCCATAACATTTACAGTCCAATTGGTTTTTGTTGATAAGAAAATTGCTTAATCATAACCACACAGAAAAATTACATGTCTGCTAGCAACGTAGCATGCTAACTAGTACACTCTCCAGAGTCCTCAATCATATAAACAAAAGAAAGCAAATCCTCCGGTCGCAGCGGTCTGGCAACAACTTCGCTCCAGTACAGACTCATAAACATGAGAACAACAATATTTCTTCCATAAAATGGAATTAACTAACTTCACTCGTGAGTTGTTAGCATCGGGCTTAGCTGAGGTGTTTTTGATCCCAGCATGCAACGCTCACGTCTACTGGATTTACTACATATCACATCCATAGTGCGCCCTCTAGCGGCTATTTTAGGCAACTACAGTCATCTTGAAACAGTTTCCCTCATAAATTCAGATATTAAAATCAAACTTATTAACTACAAATAATAGTTGGACTTTCATAATGTATGCTAACTAGCATTAGCTTCTAGTGGAAGTAAATGCAGAGAAATATTATATTTAGTCGGCTCTTACCAATTCACCTCCCATGTTAAACTGTTTAAAGGTAATCAATGTAAACATTCTGTTACAAATATAATACTGATAATAATAATAGATCATCAATAAGTGAAAATAATGAGCTGTAGCCATCGGCCAATAAGAAGAAGCTCCACTGAACTGAAAGACTATCAGCTGATTAATAATAAGTGCTCCATGTGAAGATGTAAGTCCATTTGTAGAGAATAAGCTCTGTGTATGAGAGCGATGTAATGTCCATGTTTCCATGCTGCTCTGACCCCCCTCCTCCTTTCAGGGTGGAGCCTGCTGGAGTCCGATGGTTGAGACCAGGTCTGAGGAAGTGTAAGTGTGAAAACAAAGCAGCACACATTCAACCATCTTCACACTGTGACATCACTCATTCACAGCTCTGATGTCATCATCAAAGTGTCAATCAATGATCAGATGATAGATCAATAACTGCAGCTGTATTGTGTCTTGTTCTCTCCATCAGATTCCTGTGAACTCACAGTCGACACAAACACAGTACACAGAAAGATCAAACTGTCTGACAACAACAGGAAGATGATTCATGTGGAGGAGGTTCAGTCATATCCTGATCATCCAGACAGATTTAACTACTGGGATCAGCTGCTGTGTAGAAATGGTCTGACTGGTCGCTGTTACTGGGAGGTCGAGTGGAGAGGAAGAGTTTCTATATCAGTGAGTTACAGAGGAATCAGCAGGAGAGGAATCAGCAGGAGAGAAAACAGTACAGACTGTGTGTTTGGATGGAATGATCAGTCCTGGAGTCTGTACTGCTCTGATGATGGTTACTCTGTCTGTCACAATAAGAGAAAAACACCCATCTCCTCCTCCTCCTCCTCCTCCTCCTCCTCCTCCTCTGGTAGAGTAGCAGTGTATGTGGACTGTCCTGCTGGCACTCTGTCCTTCTACACAGTCTCCTCTGACACACTGATCCACCTCCACACCTTCAACACCACATTCACTGAACCTCTTTATCCTGGGTTCGGGTTCGGGTTCAACTATGGTTCCTCAGTGTCTCTGTGTCCTCTGTAGGAGGGAGAGAGAAACTTTCTCACTGCTGACCAGATAGTTCAGTCTGTACAGGATCACACACAGCTGATGTTAGTTAGTACCAACCTGATGTGTTTACTGTAATAGAGGAGGAAGAGGAGGCTGAAGGAAGAGAAGAGCAAAGGATGCTGGGATGAAGGGATCATGTGTGATGGTAATGTGCAGCCTGCAGACGTAGAGATGAAAGAAATGATAGAAAGAATTGATCTTCTTCTATAACTCTGAGAAAAATGAACATTTTTAGGATCAAATGTGGCTGCTTGTTTTTCAAATCTTCTTCTTTTTGAAAGCACAGTTAGAGGGAAAGTGTTTTTATGACTCAAATATTAAAGTGTGAACAAATATTCAACTTTGAGTCTAAAACTGAACTTTGTTGCCTTAAAACTTTTGTTTCTGTGAAGAAAAAATGTGTTCAAATGTCAAACAAGAGTCTTTCAGGATCAAATTCAGCATCTGTGTAAAAATAGTTCCAA